CAACGACTTTGTGCTGACTAAATGTTCGAAAAAAAAAAAAAAAACATAAAAAATCAGAGCCCTGGTGCACCCCGTACGGCATAGTTACTTCTTACGTCAAACGCCGGTGAATCACGTCTTTTGTTTATCGGCACATTTCGAAACCGCAGACGGTCGCCACTTACAGAAAGAATAAATATACCTTGAGTGCTACACATTTCTCAGTATTGGCTTGCTGCATGTCTTAAATGCTTTTGGTGAAATATTCCACTTTTTTTGTAAAATGTCAAGCAGTAGTGAAATGCCTCAAAAGATAAGAAGTTAGTTTTTTTCCTCTAAAATTGCGTTCAATTTTTGGAGACAAACTCAAAATTTGCTCGAAGTAAAGCAGTTTTATTATTGACCTTTTCATGCTGTTAAAATGTTGGCATATCAAAGACACTTCTAGGAGAACTATGCACATGAAATAGATATGTGTAATGGGGAGGGTTGTTTTCTGAAACCCTTTGTCTGGTATTTAAAAAGTAACCTAGGCAATTTTAACCCCAAAGGATCCCCTCTTTGCGTGACGCACAGCCAATAAATACGGGGATTTTATTGTGGTGTCAATCTTTTGTTGAAATGACATCAAATTAATTTCTGCCTAAATGAAAAAAATTTACAAATTCTCTGAAACCGGCATAATTACACTGTGGGAGGAAGGTATAGAGAAAGCCAAGAACAAAAGGATTCTGAGAAACAGAAAACTGATCTAAAAAGAAGTTATATCAGCGAAAAGTGAAGACGATATGTTCCCAATGCATCAATATTTTGTTCCTCGCTACTTCAGACAAAACAAATAAATAATATGACTTATTTCTCATGTAGCACTTGTAAATTAAATTCGATTGGTCTGAAAAGATGAGAAAGTTAACAAGTTGAGGCAAAATTAATTTTGTATAGCAATTTTGCATACAATCACACTCTAATATGCAAAGAAATAAGTCAACGAAGGTATAATTGAATGTACATTGTATAAATGAATTGTATGAATGTATAAATACAGTAGACTCGTAAACAAATACACTAAGAGATAAACGAAGTAAGTTGATGAATGAATATATACAGAGGTACGTTAAAATGAGCTGATATTGATGTCGCAAATGACAAAATAATGACTATGATGTGACACAATTTCTTCATCATTCATCTTCTCTTAACTAACGTCACGGGAACATTGCACCAGGAGCTTTGATAAACCTCTGTATCATAACACCCCGCACTATCTTCTTGTTTTGTTGACAAATTGTGTCCAATAATCCTCATTTGAGTCAGAAATGACCTTATTATCACTTCTGTTGTCGCTCTTAGATATTGGAATCAAGGTTTCAAGAGATCGTCTTTCACGCCTGCTGTCTTAAGTCTTTGTATTTTCTTAGTTAAAAGTTTTTACGTCCTTGAGAAACCTTAAATTCCATTTAAATAAAAAAAGATTATATATCTTACATTAGCTCTAAAATTGCACGAACTGTGCCTTAAAGGGCTATATGTTGCGTGTGACAGTGCCTAGTAAAATAAAATGATTCTCATCATTACAGCTGACTTACCAGAACAGGTTCTAATATACTGTTCACAACATTTTCGCCTGCAGTAGGCAACTTTATATCTCACTCGATGAAGAACGTGAAATTTACTCGTAAAACACCGATGCTTTCATGAGCACACTGGGCGTTTTAAGAGAAGGTAATCAACACTTTTTTTTGTCATATTGAAAATTGTTTTTGTAAATCAACGAAGTGCATTTTGTCCTTCTGAGCAAATCCATGAAGTATATTTCAAATATATTGCACGAATGTTTCAAACATAGACGCTTATAACGAAATTGCGTCCACGGGCATTTAACAGTTTTTTTATAAATGATCATCCTCTTTCTGAAATGAATATTGTGAAAAAAGTCTAACGGACTCGGTTCCAGACGAAAGTGACCTTAATCTTAATGACACACTGGTTGATATTTTAACGTTAAAATGAACAGTTTAATATCTGTATAATATCCCCATTATTTTTCATGACTTGATTTTAGACAAAATTACCCAAGTGTTATTCATAAGTCAATTCTTTGTCACTGTTTGATGTTATATTTACTATTGATTTGATTGCCACCAAATCGATCTCAAGGCCAAACATAACTGTGACAGTCCCATCGATTCCCATGGTTTAATAAAGCGGAATTGAATTTCTCTGCAATCTGTGACATTTAGAATGTTGCAAAGGCGTCACATAATTACATATCTCTGTGTAGCTGCGCATGGGTGATGACTTAAATTATGCTATAATATATGATTTAAAAAATTGCTTCCACAAACGGTTGAGTCAGGGGGAAGTCAGGGGGAGGGATTGAAGAACGCTGTATACTAATAACTTCAACTTACACACACACACACTCACACACACACACACATATATATATATATATATATATATATATATATATATATATATATATATATAGAGAGAGAGAGAGAGAGAGAGAGAGAGAGAGAGAGAGAGAGAGAGAGAGAGAGAGAGGACAACCCAGTTCTGATCTCTGCTAGATAATAAGAACGTGGGGAATTTCTTCTTAATTCTTTAATCATAACTAAAATGAAATATGTGAATTAAGAAAAGTAAAAGCAGGGTAATCCCCGGAATTTTTAACATTCAATTTAAGTGAATTGCACTGACTATGTAAACATGCGAGTTTCCGCACTTACGTATTAGAATTGAGGTATTCCATAAATCAATCAGTAAATAGACGGAAACAGCGGCTTGTCCTCGACCACAAACCGGCTGGAAACGCGTGTATTTATTAAATGGAATTACTAATCTCACAACAGGTGATACAACATTTCTACCTCTAACCAAACAAGAGCTGAATACCCACATATGTTAGATTCCCAGATTCAGAAACATTCATCTAGACAAAATCTAAATGTGAATGACGACAGAGAATATGATCAGTGGATGGCGTTTATATTTTAGAACAGAAGAGATTAGTATAAATTTCCCAAATTCCAAATTAAACGATTTTCCTTTTCGATACTTTTTATATTAAACCGTAGTCTCGGGGATATCATTTATGTGAATATATTGCGCCAAACACGTTCTCTATTATAAATAGTACAAGATCTCAAATTTCAATGCTTCTCGTTTGACATGAGACATACTACTACTTTATAACAAGCGACACATTTCATTTTCTTTTTACCAAAAAAATCAGCCCTTATCTGTATTATGATTAAAAGCTCATTGCTTAAAAATTAAAACGAATGAGATCAACCCGTCTTTTCCCTGTGTAGACGTAGTTCGTACGAGTGCACCAAGTTTACGACATGCTTCGTGTCTGGGAAAGTGAAGCCTTTGGTAGGATGTGGTTGGTTTGGAACACGCGAACGTCACATAACGCACCTGTTCCCACGTGTCTATGACGTCAATTCCTACGCCATCTGGAGACGTCGCCTGAAATTAATTTTTTTTAACGATGAGGATGACATGGACCCAGAACAAGGTAGAAATGTTAGGAGTTTCCCAAAACTTAATCAGCTTAAACAGCTGCCGTTTTCAATTCATGTACTTTTTAATATTACTCTACTTTTTAAGTTTGATTTTTCTTGATGAGCTGCTTATCAGCATCAATACACTTTTAATGTTCTCCTAGTGCATTTTAGTTATCAAGCTTTATTAATAAATAGCTGTTTCTGTTTAAATTATTAAATTTGTAAATATATCTATATACCAATCTTTGCAATCAAATGGATGACGATTTTACAACTGATGTAAATTATATGAGTACCTCTGGTTTTAGGTATCAGTTCATGGACATGTTCAAAATCCTCTCGATTTTCCCCGTTTCTGGAGCAACACACGTCACAATTAGTGAAGCAACGCATGGTTCCGTATTACCGGGATGTGAAAAATATCATATCACATATAATAAATCGAGTGTCACATTGGTATAAGATTGTCTGCAGATGGCAGCTGATAATTTGAAGGAAGATTGTGCTTCCTATTAATGAACAGAAAACGCTGTTTTGATGAACCTTTACAATCTTCACATCAGTGAAATGACGCGGTCCTTTTATGAAACGGTTGCTTTAATTCTATTGTAATTGATATGATCTAAGGTAGGACAACATCCTCTGCCACAAAGGGCAATATGTATAGTCTTAATTCGGGTAAAGTTGAGTGTAATATATTGTGATACTTTTTCACCGACAAAATCCACACTTTTGACAGAAGAAATGCGAAAAAGACAACACAAGCACTGAAAACGTTAAGTTAGGTGAAATATTAACTATTACTTTACATTCGCTCTGAACATTTAACGGGCCTTAAAAGGTACAAATTATTTACTCTGCTTTATGTCAAGTTAAATCAGTACTTGTACAATAAAATTAAAATTAAATTGAGCACCTGTTATAAAACACAAAAGAGCTACTGTTTCAGTTAAAAAACAGGACATTTAGTACGCATTTCGACTGCACAGCAGTATATACAGAGGTATATGCAATTGGTACTTATACATCCAATTAGTACAAAAACGAACTCTCAGAATCCTCATGTCTACCATTAGTTTGCAGAACCATGAGCAGGATGCAAGAATGTTGTTAAGAAACCCTGAATACCGCGATAGGGTCAGCTTGACTTTCCATAAAGCCTTGATGACTCCAAATTACGAAAAAAAAAGGATTGTCTGAAGCCGACACAGGCCTCTAAATTGGCCTGTCGTAGCTCCACTGTCACCGGAAGCCAATGGTGTCTAAAATGTAGTTCCAATGGTGAAACTGCAATCTTTCCGATGACACCAAACTCTACCTATGTGTTTCAGCAAGTGTATGTCAAGGCGTTGCGAGGGTTTTCACGCAAACCAATTGATTGTCTCACCTGCCAAGACTGCGGTATTGCCCACGTATTTATCAGCAGCATACACTATATAAACAATTGTTAGACGTACGATAAGAGATGTGCAAGCGTCTCCGGCGCTGCTTTGATATTTATGACAGTGTTGTGCGGGCAATGCATTGTGCTCATATGTTTGGTTCTGCTTGATTCTACGTATACGTTCAACATACCTAGCAGCAATTAATCAAACCAGAAATCTGGAGCGTTCAGCTTGATTAACGGGCTTTGGCGCGCGTGTGGCGGAATTCGGAAGGCACTTGAGGAATTTGCAAAGAAATGGCGACTACTATATTTGACAGTGAGCGAGATTTTTAGGCGTATTAATAAGCGGAAGTTGTAGTGGTGAGGCTATAAGACGCGTTATTTTCCTGAACACTTTTTATGTGATTCAAACTTCGAAGACGTGTTTGATATTTTCATTTTGTCAGAGGAAAGCTTCCCTGAAACAATGTACACTGGTTAATGTGGACAGGGCTGCAAAAAGTTTTTCACGACAATCAAACCAGTGGTATTTGTAGGAGACACCGGCAGATATTATAAATATTATCAAAGAACAACGCATTGACATTATAGTAAGTATTGCACTAATGAAAAATAATAACCTAATTTTTTTATGAAAATGTTATGTAAAAATCTTTAGTGCACCGGCTATTTATGCGGTATCAAAGATATGTCGCGGAACCTTGTTTAGGAGCGAAATAGGGACGCTCTCTCCACATTTATGTGGCCATGCATTCAATTATTGATAGCGCATTTTTGCCATTTTACATACAAGATATATAGATTCAAAACATCAGGCATTTATATGAAAATATCTATTTGAAATGTTTATGACATGTACGTTTATCAGGTGGTTGTAACACTATAGTATATCTTGAAGAAAATAGAACTGAAATTAGCTACAATTTAAGCTGCCAGAAACGTTTTTACTTTTTAATTAAAGCCGAACAGTCTTTAAGCAGTTTAATCAACACAGGATCAGGTCGATCGACAAACACACGAAATTGATAGGTAATACATCAACGCGAAACAGATAACACAAAGTCGAAAATAAAAAAGACATTTACGAATAAAATTTGTTGGTTATTTACAGGTCGGGAAGAAGAGTGCAAGTGATCGAAGGGCGTTTTTTTTCAAGGCACGTTGAAAACAGGAGAGATGAAGTTACGGACTATTCAAAACGCTCTATCAGAAACGCTAGTGATGGTCCTCATGTTCCCGTACTTGGTGGACACACTGTGCATGAAGCAAGCAGAAATGACTGACATTACCAAGGAAGGGTACACCACAGTATCCGTAGAGACAAACGCATGTATGGAGATTATATCAAGTGCCATTAAACCCAGCCTGTCTGAGCGGGGGCTTGGATTCGTGGACTTCAAAAGGCATTATTCAGATGAGTGCTGCTGCGCTGTCCAAAACTGGGTAGACAAACAGGTTAGTGTGTCTGTTTCCTTCGCTTCTCAGCATGTAGTAATCGCTGCATAATTAAGAAGACAGTTAATTAAGAGCGTGTTTTTATCATTTTGATTATAGGCTAGCTGTCCCAACGTCCCCTGCATCTAACTTAATTAATTATTGAATGGCAATTAGCATTGAGATCTGCTGGCTACATGCCGGAAAATATTTGAATTACGTTATTGCCACACCCTAAATTATACTGTTACTTGCATCAGCTTTCTTTTCACTGTCGGTCCATTACCTTAATAATAATAATAATAATAATAATAATAATAATAATACATTAAAATGATATCTATCAGGTGGGCATCATGTTCGTTAGGAAAAGTAAACAAGCATATATGGCTAGGTGTAGATCGGATTTTGCCCAAATTTCCTCATCCTTGCTTGGGCTCAGTTTCCGGGTTGTTGTGGTTCGATCTTGTTGTCATATTTCATCTAAAAATATGCTGACTCCAGCACGAGAGTGACAGAGCTCACGGTGCGATGGACCAACGTCGGGTGTAGAGGTAACAGAGGTCGAAGACTGTGGTCTTAACACGATCATAAATTGTTTTGTATCCATAAAAGAAGGCAATCGAAGTGAACAATTTGTTCACTGGAAAAGGGAAGTTGTATTTTACATGGTATATAATTCAGGGCCGTAGCCTCCGGGGGGGCAGGGGGGGCAGCTGCCCCCCCTGGGATTTAGAATTTTCCACACTGGTAGGGGGACACCCCCTCCCCCCTCGGGGGCTTCGCCCCCTCGTGTCCGCTTACTGCCCCCCCTGGCATTTTGCTCAAGCTACGGCCCTGTAATTACAGTTATAAGAACGCGTGGTGCAAATCAGAATTCTATCCTTTAGTTTATTTTTATCAACTGAAAGCACATAGTGTAGTTAAAAAAGTACACGACATGAAAAATTTTTAGTCGAAGTTAAGTGAAATCACCAGTCGGCTCATTAAATGAAATATTGGGCCCGTTTCATACAAAAGACATTTAATTACTTGGTAAGCTGATAAAGCATACCGGCGCATGCGCAGTTGTATTTTTAAACAGTACCTCTGTTCTTTAAACCTGTCAAAAGCGTCGCCTTCAACATTCATGATAACATCCTTTTTAAAATGTTTGCTTTTCCAACGAACAGAGCGAACATCAAACGGATCTCTTTATATTGTTGGAGCGTGATGTAACTTTGAGCTCGTGTATTTCTTTGTTTTTCGGTGAATTCTTGGTGCTATAATCAAAGAGAAAACCGTCAACAGCTTGTACAATGATAAAGAAAAATGAATGAACATAATGATTAAGGCTGGAGTAGCGTATCTTTAGTACATTTGATGCCTGCCTTGAAGCAAAATACGTCCGTCAGTGTCTGCAGAGTCTTTGGTAAAATGAAGGTGAAGCAAATAAGGGAAAAAAATACTATAATGTAGACATTTTGATATCCACATGAGTCAGAAAACTTGATATCACTCTTTTACCAGCATCTAAACCTCGCAGAGGCACGAATTTGTCATCAGATTTCTCTAGAAGAGGTTCCTTTTTTTAACAAGAGCCATGTTTCACAAAGATTCAATTAGAGTGCCTTGAGGAATCACCTCTATGTAAGAATGCAACTGTCAGCGTGCGTTCATGTTCAAGTTACGTCACCGAGGATTCCTCGAGGCGCTGCCTCTTCTAAATGAGGAAAGATTTCATGAGAATTCTTGAAAAAAGACAGCGAAGACGGTAGGAGTTATTAAAAGTGAACGATGGTAGACATTTCTCGGTAAATTGTAACACGTTTTATACTCAGTCCCCTGCTATGCTTTGTCATACTTTTCTGGATCAGCAGACGACAGTTGTGTCAGCATTAAATAGAGGGGGTGGGGGCCGCTGAGTGTCAAAAAAGGAGCTGTGAAAATCAAACGGATTTAACGATCTCATGCTTTAGAGCTTTAGATGATTCTTTTGTATCTGCGTCGTAGCGAGCCAAGGAGGCCAATTAAGAGCTTCTCCCAAGTCTGTTTACGCGTCTAGTCTAGCCCTGACCAGCCAAGCCCCAGGAAGTTGCTTTAAAAATATCATACTTTTGAAAATAGCTCCATGCATCAGTTTGGCACACCTTCAACATATACAGAAATAGATGAATAGTTGTCATTCCGACATTCCCATCTTATTAATGAATGGTAAAAATCATGCACAGGAGAGATAATTTAGCAAGATGCTATTTGCAGACCACAGAAAACATGTTTTTAAGCTAGCCAGTCTGATTCGGTGAATAAATTATGATCAAAGCCATAATTTGTCAAGGTTGAGCATGACTATGAAAAGAATGTAAATTGAAGGCTGATGTAATTGAAATTCAGTCTTTATTAACTGCCAACTAGCCACTGTACCGTAAGGGCAAATAAATATATCATTTCTCGTCCTGTTTTTCAACTAATACGTGAAATGACGGTGGAAACTTAATGGCGTTCACTAAACCTTTCTCCTGGCAAACAATGCTTACAGTTCGTTCCGTTTAAGTTCAAAAGGTGAAAGACACACGTGTCTTATCTCTTAGGTTTCTCTGTAATACACAGTAACCATAGGGCGCGTTTCTGTGAATCTTTTAAATATGCAATTAACAAAATTGTTTTTAATTTGTGAATAGAAATACTTTGCCTAGCTGCCATGTTACTTTTTACCTTTGAAAGTAATTTACATGCAGACTTAGGCCCCATTTCCATAGATTTTAGATCGATCTATCCCTGTGGGGAGTCTCACTAGATTACTATCAGATAATCCGGCTTAAATGTCCGTCCCGCCTACTACAAGCTGTAAGGGGGTAATTAACTTTCGTGCCCGCTCGGCTGACAGCTATTTAGCGTGAACCCCCAGGGAGTTAGGTCGATCTAAAGTAGATCGATCTAATCTCTGGGAATGGGGTCTTAGGCGTGGGTTTAAAAATCGTGGGTCAGAAGTAGGTTTTAGATTCAAGACGAAACTGTTGTCCTCTTTAAGACGAGATAAACTCTAAGTGGTAAGTTGAAAAAAAAGCAACAAGGCTTGTTTTTTCAAAAGAATAGAGATGGCTGAAACCTGAAATTTAATATCGTTTTTCAATTTGACATCTACTTACTTATCCCGGGTAGGAATAGACTAAAATTTCCGGCCTTGCAGTTCTGATCGTTTCGTTTGCATTAGCCTCTATGAAAATCTTAAACACGCCAGTGCGACCTAAAAGCATCTATTTTAGCTGTAAGTATCAATGGTGTGATTCCTGTCATAAGTCTCTCTAAAGGTCTACAACATTTGCCTAAGCACTGCAATATCTGCCCCATTAAGGGAGATGATAATTGAAAGAATTATTGGCATAATGCAAGTTCTGTTATTTCATTCTTGTATTTCCGCTATGAACGCTGCCATCATTTCAACTGCACTGTGTTAGATTCCAACGCCAGGTGTATGAAACTCTTTTTCACACCATTCTTTAAAGGGTGACCTGTGCATTAACCGCCATCAGTAATGAGTCTGTAATGTTAGTAGCTCCATAATCAACATACATAACCATCTTATCCATCTTATTAGTGCAGGGGCGATACAATAAAGCTATCAATTGCCGTATTATAAAGGCGTTTCATTTTGAATCATGTGTGGATTTCATCAGATCTTATGACATTATGAGATTATGACATTATGACATATACTGTAAATTAGTCTTCCTCTTCATTCCAGATACTACTGGTCAGTTTTGACAGGGATAAGCCACCGGAAGTGGTGAAGTACAGAAGAATTGAATCATGCCAATGTGTTCCGTGTAGCGAGGACAGAAGGAGAAGGCGGCGAAGGTGACATGTGACACTTTAACACAATGAAGCATACTGTCAATGACAATGACACTACATACTGGTGACATGATGGCGAAAGTTCAGATAAAGCGGATTAATTTAAGAACAATGCTTCTAAACAAGCGTGGAAAAGCGTGGAAAAATGCAAAGATCCTAAGATTATTTCGAAATATTCAAATGACAAACCCGGCGATCCGATTCCATACTTTTCTACTGATCTTAGTCATAGCGCCTTGCTAAATACACAGTTCATATATGGTTCTAAACCAAGACTACCACCCTGCAGGAAATAAAACTATTCAAAACCGCATATTTGGTCGTCTTTTTGGCAGGAAAGCTATCCTGTCTGTCATCTGTCTTTCTGACCGAGTGCCTGTGATGACGACATAAAGTATTCAAAGGCATTACGATGAATGAGTACTTAGGAAAGAAATGCTCGACGAAAGAAACAGGAGTATATATAAAGGCTTAAAGAAGTACCAAAAACGGCGTGGTGTGTGCTTGAAACATTAGGTGCCTCCACAAACACACACACATATTGTAAGGGTATAATAAGAATGCAAGCTCTGGCCTTGGAACATTAAGGACAACGCAGAGCCAGCAAAATGCTGAGACGGCATAAATGGGTTAGGCCAATGGAATATTGAGAAACAAGGGCAAGTAAATCGTTTGAGCCTATGAAATAATTAGAGACCAGGACGAGGTCTTATGAAATAGAAAGTATGATGAAGTAAATAGTTTAAGCTAATGGAATAGTTAAAAACTAGATCGAAGTGAAGAGTTTCAGCTAAAAAGAAAGATAAACGGAGTAAATGATTTGAACTACTGGTGTATTTTTACACATGCGGCTAATAAATTGAAGAAGAGGGATGGTTAGAAACCAGGAGGAAGTAAATGTTTTGAACCAATGAAATAGCTGTAAACAACTTGGAGGAAGTATGATAATTGGAGGCAAATTGCTAGGTACTCGGGTAAAGGGCACTAATTTGGCGTGTGGCAAATAGGGCTTTATTACGGGTATGTGGGCGGCTATGCTACAGCTTTATTTATTTTCTGTTACAGCTTATGTGTAAAATTGCATTGATGTACATTGATGTTTCATTTTCGAATTTCGCCAGATTCATATTATCTTACATAGATATCCAATTCTCCGCCATTAATGTTCATGTAATCCTTTGGGCATTGAATAGACCGAATGCCAAGGAATGTTCAATTATTGTAAATTGTTTTATCGTGTACAAATATGAGCAAGTTTGCAGTAAAGAATATCTCATTAATTGATGTTTAGAAGT